TTCTGATGGGCTGATGGTTTTTAAAAGTCAACCAGTTACACCAAATGCAAATCGTTATTCATAAGAATGCCTTCGGTATATAAAGTTGACTTAAGACAATACATGTAGGCACAATAAATTTTGGTTTATCGACTGATCAATTAAATTAATTGAAATTCTAAATAACCAATCAAAGATTTCCATTTCCCACTGCTACTCTCATCTTTAATTAATTAGCCGGATGCAAAGAATCATTACATAAGTATACGTTTCATTATTTTCTCACTTTCTCACTTACAATTCTTCTACAAATATTCCTTTTATGGAAATGTCAGTTCCTTAGATCGATTGGTGCCGTCAAAGAGTCCATCATGTAAAGTGGATCGCATCGTGTTTATCCCGTACTACAAATATCGTCTACCTTTTCACATCTTTTCACATTTCTCTTTCAACATTAGAAGAATCGTGCTTAATAATCATGTTTCAATATAATAAAGAGTATGCACGTAATGAATGCGTTTTTGATTATTTGCTGATTTTGTGAATTTCTACTCTATTTTGCATTTCAAGCATGGCCACGATGTAGTTTATTCCAAACAGACTCGGAAATGAGTATGTGAAAGTCGAATGGGTTCTCTTGTCATATATACCTGAATGGATAGCATACAACAAAGCTTCTCTACTTCATGGACTATATATGCATATCGATACTTGGTTCTGGATTATATATCCATAATTAGAACTCAAATGGGGGCTTAGGTAATAGGTTCAATGTATACTGGATTAGTACTATAAAGGCGACGGTCAAAATTAGGGTGACTGACCAAAAATCTAACAGTTGTATGGTCCTACAAAATCCTTGATGTACTGTATCTACGATGTTAGATCCCAAGCCCAAAAAGTTAATTCTATGCTAGAAACTTTCATTTCTTCAGCCTGACATGGTATTATATAAAATATAAAAAGTATGAATGAATTGACGTTAACACCTCGACGATTTTTTTTACCCAATAGGGTAATAGGAAGTCAGGGCGTATTATTAATCCGTACGTTTACAAGTCAAATATTTATCTTAACATCATAAGCACACAAGAAGTTATAAGAAAAATGATCGGATATTGCTTGTCGTTCTTCACAAATCTTTAGTGTCTCTCGTCAAACGTATAAGAGAGATGTTATAAGAGCTAGTAGCCTACTTACCGGGAACCTACCGGGAATTTATCAAATAGAACATGTTCGTAAACGTTGAATATTAGTTCAAATATCAAGTTGTGTGCAGATCAGTGTTTCAATTATCAATATATTGGCAATGTATGGTAATGCTTTCTGGTTGTTTGGTAGGTTAACACATTCCTTACGTAAGTGACACAAAGGTCACAAATATGGTTTGATTTTGTTTATTGTCGACGCGATTTAAATGAGGGCGAATGAGGTTTGAAATCTAGCAAACGCAACCATTCACGAATCAGATTCAATAAACTATGATACAAACACATGAAACATACGATTACACGTAAAACTACAAAGGCATTTATGCTAGAGTTTACAAATTTAATCATGACATTTGCTCAATTTTGTCGTTCTTCGTCTCAACTCAGTTGATTGTTTCCAAGTCCAAGGGTACAACCATTAACATATGGGTTCCTAACCCCTTACTCAATAATAAGATTTTGAAATTCGAGAAATAGTTAAACACGAGCATTGTTTACCAAAGCAAGCTTTATCCATGCTAAAGAATATCACTTGGCCACTATGATTTCATCATATTTCTCTATGAGCTGGAGTATATTGCAACACCTTTGTTATTAGATTTCATTCATTTTGGGATTGTTGAACTAAAATGACTTAATTCGTTTGCGTATTTCGCTCATTTCATTCTGAAATTGTAACTTTTACAATGTGCTTTCATTCTCGGGATTCTTATGAGTCAAAAGTGACTTAACTTAATATTAAACTGTTAATCGATATTGGACAGGCAGGAATAAAAACCCATTGTTAAATATAGAAGAGAATAAAACAGATAAATAATAGAGCTCAGTTGATCGCAGCATGCATAGAATAAAGAAATATTGCATCGAACACTGACTCGCTTTTTGGTCTTAATACATCGTCGCGTGAGAATAACTTTGTACTAACTGCCATTTTCAAAAAAATTGAGATAGACATGGAATTTTACTATTTGAAACACAGGCTTTCATCTCAGATACATGCCCCATCTCAATTCCCTCTCATTAAGCTAGAATTCAGTGTGAAATTGTACCATCTCCAGACAAACAGCTTATTTCTAATTTCAAATTGTCATATCTGATATCAACTGTTTCAACCAATCAACTCTCTAAGAATTGGTCATGTGACTTGCAAAACTTGGAGTTATAACAATCTTATATTAAAACGAAGTATGCCAATATGCATGTTATTGTATCTAGAATGAAATAATGTTTTGTAACACAATACTATGCCAGTTTGCATGCCTGGCCTTTCATGTTTTAGTTTTAGAACTATTACAAGTAGATCAAAAAAATAAAATGATACAGTATGTGTAATCCCATGCATATTCAAATTATATGTCCTCAATTACTCTTTGTATTATGGATGCTCATTGGATTATTCATGGCCACATGATATGAAATAGAATTACTAATTTCCTCGAAAACCTAAATCCTTACTACCAGGGAAGATGAAAAGTACAAATGACCAGTTAATTAGATCATGTGAGCAGTCAAAAGTACCCTTTATCTTCCCTGCTACCAGGTCTTATAGGGGTTTGAATGGCCAAATGCAATAGAAATGCATATACGAAGCTGTCATCATTAAATGTTGAAAATGAAAGACTACTTATTTGTTTTTTCAAATAGAGTACATAATAATAGGTTATATACTAGATATAGTAATCAAAACAAATAGTAACTGTCATATTTTGCACTACATTGCTCAAAGGCAATCACTGTCTGTATACTATTGAAATCTCTTTCAAAATGATGTTTTGTAGTTTGTGGAAAAAAGCTTAATCTATTTAAACTAGCTTTAACTTTTACTGACCATACACTATATCAATAAGGAGTTATCTTTATGTTAGTATACTTATTTTATTTTCTCTTCATCTATGATTTACTTTGCGCTTTTCACTGAACATCTGGGATCTTTTTAGTTATTTTATTACTAGTATGTTTTTCAGATTTGTCCTTTCTTTTGCATTTTTGGGATCATTGTTTTTAGATCATCTACATTTTATTTTGGAAAAGTAACAAATTGGTTCAATTTCTTTACAAAGAGCCACTCTTAGTCTCCACTTCTACAATTGCTTCAATTCCCAATTGTACTCCACAGGGTAGCAAACAACAGACAATGAATGGATAATGATAGCCGCATCCCAATGAACAAAATGTGATTACCTAAATCGAGGTTTCATCACTTTCATTAATCTAAAATGAATTAGAAATTATTTTTCTATTTTCAAATTTCTTCCATGTGCATGTAATAAAAATTGGTTATGTCTTAGGCCCTAAGGATCTGAAACCTGCTGGTCAAAATGGAATTACGGACCAGTTGCAATTTTATTCTCCTATACCCAGTGAAAAAATCAACTGGTCTGTATCAAAAATAACCTGATAATGACCAGCGGACCGGCCCTTAGGGGCTACATTGTAATGTGCTGGGAGGTTTAGGCTACAGGGTTTATACCGAGGGAAATATGTGGGGGACCGTAATGGCATCATTGGTTTCAATGCATTGTACTTCTGCCTTAGTTTCAAAGGCAATAAATTCTTTTTGAAGGGTGTCCTGAGATTCCAAAATTAAGAAATAATTGTACTTATTTGAGAAATTGATTTTAAAGTTTTATAAATTGAATTTTCTTTATTTTATTAAATAATATTCTTTGGTTTTTGAAGATTTTTTTACAAAGCAAAACATTATTTTTCATTCTAGATACAATAACATGCATATTGGCATACTTTGTTTTAATACAAGATTGTTATAACTCCAAGTTTTGCAAGTCACATGACCAATTCTTAGAGAGTTGATTGGTTGAAACAGTTGATATCAGATATGACAATTTGAAATTAGAAATAAGCTGTTATTCCGGTGGGAAATTGTATCAACTCCATTTCCATAGTTTTAAAAAAGGATCTTGTAAATTGTTTCAAGGTATGATATTTCATATAAGATATCTCTAGGGTGAGACCAGGTGACATACAAAAAATCAAGTTTCACATAGCAATACTAAGTAAGATACAGACCTCTAAACTTTCAAACCTTGATTTCTCAGTTCCGTAAAAATGTGAGATAGTACAAAGTTATTCTCATGCGACGACATATACACAGCCGTATAGCGAATACACGTAGAATCATATTTGTAAAATGTTGACAATAGGTATATATATATCTACATGAATAAAGAATAGTATTGCTATAAATGTTGACGTTACTTCCATCATAGCATTCGTCATGATTTACTATCATCATCAAGGTTACTCTTCATGAAAATGCCTTCATCTGTACGCTCTTTCAATAAGACATGTACACTTTCCCTTGAATTGATAACTGATATAGTCCCTCCGATCAGAATCCTTAGAAAATGTTGAACCAAAAATTATCCAAATTTAATGATTGCCTTTGGTTTCATGCATCCATAATTTATATTTACCTAGCTAATTTTTGCATTAACATGTTTATGATTATGTTCGTCCATCTATTATTCAATACATAGAAGTTATTCATCAGCATTAACGCAAATTAAAAACATCTTCCAGTTTTTATATTCCTCATTTGAGCACCTTCGGCTTCCTAGGTTGTGTACAGTATACAAAACTAAAACTTCGTATTTTGCAAGACGCTTTCGAGGACAATATTTATGATGCATACATACATATTCAATGACTCTCGTTTTTTGCAATAAAGCACAGATCTAGAGCAAAACAACAGAAACAATTTCAGATCAAACAAGCCAACATGAATTTAAAGTTATAATAGCATGCGAAACATAAATATGACAACAGCTTATGAGCGTATTTATTTTTCAGATTGGTATTGGTAATACAGCACTCCACAACGCAAACTTTTGTTGATGCCCCCGATCCGAAAGAAACCTCCGATAGGACGTTATTGGATAAATCAACTCGTACCTTATTCTTCATCGAATTTTGATGAGTGGAGAACTGGTTCAATCATCGAAGCAGAACCAATCCTGCATGCCGAAACAATGTGTACTCAATAGGATCGGATCTTATTTCTTTGAACGATAGATTAATTCTAGACAAGATTGGACAGTTTTGAAGTTAGGCCTGAAACTGTATACGCTCAGGGAGTTGATTGAATTAAGTTATTCTCTCCTATACTTAGTGGTGAGGATATCGGAGACATGGCAGGATGTTTATTCTGTAGTTGGTGATAAATAATTAGAGGAAACAATGGGGGATTACCCAACTATTGTAAACAACGCAACGGGGAAGCATAATACAGGAGATGAATTATACTCACGGGATGACGATGGTATCAGAGGAGTTAATACAACTCATAATTCCACAGATATAATGAAAACTATAGGTTTGGATGTTAATATACATACGGGTATGGATAACATGCATTATTTGGATAACACTGGGGAAAACATAGGATTACCCTTAGCCCAACGATTATCGTATTCGTATAGCGCAACGTTGAACTTATCTGAAAACATATCCCTATGCAACCCACTGATGAATGGGTCATATACTGGGCTCAACCTTACGTCATGTGAAATGTTGAACTCGACCACCGAAGCGACAGTGAAATATAACTTATTAGTTGATATCCCACTTGGTATTGTTCTAGGATTAATGTGCTTGATGACTTTTCTGGGAAACGCAATGGTTTTACAAGCAGTAAGGACAGAAAAACGTCTCCAGACGGTAAGTAATATACCATGTATAACCATGCATTTGACTTCTAACTAGTCAAAGTCTAAATTTATTTGAAAGCTCATCGTAAGAGTTTATGGTATGCAATCAACAAAAACAAAAAGTCGTGTGGAAGACATCATGATCTTAATGGCATGTGCGACCGTAACGAGCCTGTCTCTTTACTTATTGGTTAGGAATATTAAAAATCTATGAAAATAGAATTCCAACATTTAGATGCACATTAGTTAAAACAAGCATATTTTTCCGATCGATACGTCGATCACCAATCGTCCACATATTCCATTAACAATTGAAGAAAAGTTTGAGTGAATACTTCACTGCAAACAAACTTTTCCTAAATATTGTTAAAACTAAGCTTATGCCTTTCACATACGAGAAAAAGGTTAATTTTAATGTCACATTATAATCAATTGCAAGTACTCGAACATTTTAGATTAATGTTTTTAAATGTGGTCAATTATATACATATATGTAGGTGTCGCTGCCATAAATATGTACAAATGTTATTATGTTTACAAAAAGATGATACAAGTACAGAAAAAGTAAGCGAGATTAGATTTATAGGCATTTACTTAGATGAGATATCACCTGGAAGCATCACATTCAATAATTGAAGACTTAACTCTCGCAAATACTTTGTGTTCTCTTATGTCAAGTTTCATTTTATGTTTACCATCCTTCATTTTACTAACATTTGAATTATTGTATGTATAATATTAGTGGAGCAAACTAGGGTGATATAAATGACCACCTCTGAACTAAGGTTCAAATACACCGTTGGAAAGCTGAACGGGTCAGCTTTAATAATCTGACCTCCATTCGAATTTCTAGTGCATGCAAAATTAGATACTAACCCTTTCATCCCCAAGGGATCATTTATTAATTTTATGAAAATCAATTGCAAAATGACAAATAGCCCTATGGCCAGAATGGATTATTTCTAAATTTACAATAACTAATGTCAAATTATACTTTGAAGAACATTTAAAAGTTTGACTCAAGATAGGCTGAGATAGGGGTCATTAAGTGACCCCATGATGCTACAAAGTGCTTCAGAATTTTTGTTTTTGGTCGAAATGAGATTGAATATTTGAAAATGGCGTGCAGTTCCGATACACCGTTGGAAAGCTGAACGGATCAGCTTTAAGAATCTGACCTCCATTTGAATTTTTAGTGAATGCAAAATTAAATGTTAACCCTTTCATCCCCAAGGAGTCATTTATTAATTTTATGAAAATCAATTTCAAAATGACAAGTACCTCTATTGCCAGAATGGATTATTTTTAAATTTACAATAACTAATTCAGTGGTAAATTATTCTTTGGAGAATATTTAAGAGTTTGAATCAAGATAGGCTGAGATAGGGGTCATTAAGTGCAATGACCCATAATGCTACAAAATGCGTCAGAATTTTTGTTTTTAGTAGAAATGAGATTTGATATTTGAAAATAATATGTATTTTAATGTGCAATGCACAATGTGGAATGCACAATACCAATTTTCTCCTGAGAATAATAAGATTGCAGCAAGCGTGTATTGATGTGTAGTCTAAGAAACGGATTAAACAATGTAACTGAATGCTTGTTTATGTGAGAAAACTACATGGATTTGTATAGGGCGATTTATACGTACATGTTGACGTTTCGATTTTGTATGAATTGCTTACAGTCTCCATTATCATAATTGTTTGACGGGTGGTCATTTCCACCCACCATTTTTCTTGTTTGGATTTAGTAACGAAACGTTCCGGGTTAAATGTACGGCGTGTTGGGTAATCTAGAGTTTCACAGGTATTGAATACTAGGACTTCATTAAGAATCGTGTCGTCCCACTGTCTTCCTTTCCTTACCGCCCTGCCTTATAGACTATTACCCACGCTTGGTGATTTCAAGAAATCTACTTTTGGTTAGCTGAGGGTCTAGATTCTTACTGTAATACCATCTGTAATTATACCCAATTAAAGTTCATGTGATATGAAAAAATTGTTGATTGGCGCTAAAATTGTTCTGATAAAGGATTCTGCATGTCAGAAAAATAGCAGCAACTCAAAACTTATTCTTTTGTTATTCCTTTCCCTCTTGATAAGGTTTCCACCTCTTCTGCTCAATGAAGAGTTGTGGAGTTAAGGTGATGGTTTCCAGAAGACATTTTTGAAAAATTACTATACCTATGTTATTTTCTGGTACAAAATTAAGTATGAAGGCATGTGTGTATTTCCTTGCTTTTTTCAGGAAAGTATCATTTCATTGCCTTTTCATAGAAAACCTGGTAAACGGTCAATGGCAATCCAGTGTTATTGAGAAACATGGAGAAGAATTTGAAAATGCCATTTTGAATGATTTTTCTTGAAATATCAGCATTTCCTGAAGTTGCCATTGACCGCTTACCAGGTTTACTATGAGAAGGCGATGGAATGATACTTTCCTAAAATAAAAAAGGAAATACACAAATGCATTCATATTTTATTTTGCACCAGAAAATAACATATGCAGGTGTAGCAATTTTTATAACATAAAGATCCCCTTCATTTCATTATATTCTTGGAATCATACATTTCAAAGTACATGTACTTTTGGATATCACCATGAAAACTTCATACCTTGGTAATCGAAGATGGATATCACTGAATAAATAGTAGTATCATACCAAGCTCTCATTTGATTGCATTTCTTTGGAGTATCAGTTGTGCACTTTTCACCGCGAAACTAAGTTAACCATGCACTGATTTATCTTTATCTAAAGCTTGTGAGCTCTACGCTCTTCGTATGATAGTAAAGACTATGAAACAAACATTTATTCACTTATTTAATACTTTTGAAAATATTTTCATAACATTTTCGAATGAATTCCAATACTGAACCCTAATTATTCTAACGTACGAAGTATATGGGGATATAGTAAAGCTCTTCGTCCCTCTATTAAGGGTCAAGAAAACGGAAATATTCGTTAATGTTCTCATTGAAATATAACTTCATCATACTGAAATGGAAAGGATTTTTAGAATAAATTGTATATGCATCAATTTTCATTAAAATTCCAAATGGCCGCCTGTTGTGGATATTTCGAAAATGCTTTTTTTCATTCTAACCAAAGTGATAAGTACCAGTATTAGTGTTTGAGATTTTACTTTAGTCAGAAGTTTTACTGTAGTCAGAAGATATATCTATTTCTACAGGGCTAACACCAAGAGGCATTACACGCATTTCATTTCTCATTTTTTAGTTTGAGAACAACTAGATTTTACTAATGGGAATCTGACGTCAGATATTGTATAGACCTTAAAACATGAACGATTTGGAAAACATTTAAAGTTAAAGGCTCTTCATTCAGCAGGAGATCCAAAGGGCAAATTGTGCTTCGGTTAGCGACATTTCTATCTCCGCCGTGGCGTGATATAGTCCCGATTTCTCGGTACACGAGTTCGTAGAAAAATACGACACCTCAAATCAAGAGGCCATAACTCAACCCATGAATCATCAATTTCGATTCCGTTTGGATTTTTATGATGCCCAACACGAGAGTTGCGTTATATAAAGCCATTGATATGTTTCGTATGTGATAAAATCGTGTATTTGGTGTATACCCGACTTGAATATTTTTTGATGATTTTTCAAAAAAAAAAATTTTCCCGCTTCAAAGTTGGCAGAAATTTGTCTTTGAGGTTTTCAGCACTAACCTTCGGGTGTTCGTGATTATTTTGAATACTTCTGATCTTTTTGTCAGCTTATCTTTTTCGCCCCGGTCGTAGTTCATGGAGAAAACGAAGTAGAAAGTACACTCTCATTTTTAACCCTATATCGTATTTTTGGCGAGTCATGGCCTCGTGACGTAAATTCCGGTTGAAGTTTTCGGTGGAAGTTTTCAAATTGCTGTCGAATATGCCCGAATAGGACGACAGTAAACAATAAATCGGACCCTAAGGTATCGCTGTCTGGTGTATAAAGTATAAGGGAACAAACAGATAACATTGAAGTAAGTATACAACAAATGGTATCGATAAAAGTGAAGGAACAAGTAACATTTTACTAAAATTATTTGAAGATCGAAGATGGCTTCCAATTTTCTAAGTTTAATTTTGAGTGACCAGTTTTGCCATTCCAATCTGAAGTATTGTGCTTTTAGGCTATAAATAGATGCTCGATATTACCCCGGGGATATTAAGGTGACTGTTAACTTAAGGTACAGCTGGAAAGTAACATTTTGGTAAAAATTGCTATACCAGCACATGTTATTTCAAATCAAGAAATGCGTATACCGCTACCAGTATAACTATACTGCATGTTAAATCCCTATCTAGGCCCATTAAGCTGTCAACGCAAACATTAATGTGGTTTCATATTCCAGCAAACTGTAGAAGTTGCTTCTCAAAGCAGAATTAGGGTTTTGCTAAAATGTTACTGTACACAGAGAAATATACTTCATTTCCCATCATTTTTGTTTTTGAGATAATAATGTTATTTATCTTATTTGACTTAGTTTGTTGACAAAATATAAATAAATAGAATGTGTACTGTTAAAAAATCATTGTTAGATTATTTAAAAGGATGAGATTTCGTTGATTTATTTCTGAAAGATTACTATACGCTAATACAAAGAGTTTACAGTAATAGAAGAAACCAAACTGCTTCTAAGAGAATACATTACCCTTTACATTCTAAATGTAGCAAACTTTATCATTAATATTATTTATCGAATCCATCTGGTCTTGGATCTATCAATGATTTTCAATGTAGTGTACTGTGAAAGAATGCTGCTATCTCAAATATTTTCAACGTTTTTTTAATCTATTTTGAGTGACAAATATTTCAGTAAGAGGTTGATTAGATGATACAAGATAGTAAACTTTGCAAACTCTTTTTGTGAATTTGTATCCTTTCGGTTGCAATTTTTTGTAATTTTTGATATTTTACAAATACTGCACATAGAGTTTGAGTGCACAGTAGGGTCAGCATTATAGTACCCCACACAAGTTTTTGATTATAACTTTA